TCTGTAGCATGAAGCTACTAGGAGTATTTCTGACCTCCTGGATGGGATGCTAGTCCATAGCAGGGTTACCACCCAGCATTAAATTCGCTAGTCCCCATTTTTACACATGGGTGGAGAGAGGCACTGTGAGAGTAAAGTGTCTTGCCCAAGAATGCAACAAAATGTGCCTAGCCAGGGCTTGAACCCAGACTGCTTGATGTGGAGATCAGTGCACTAACCATGAGGTCAGTGCGTCTCCACGCATTTTGTACTGACTGATATATAGATGTGTAACCCCAAGGAGCTATAGGGCTGTCCTTGCTGACATCATTGTTTTACATTTTTGGCTAATTGGCATGCTAATTTGTATAGAGAATGTTTCACGCTAGATACAAATTGACTCCAAATAGTTAAGAGCTGGTAGAACTTATTACATGGTGAAATCTTGGGTCTCTTGGGTGCAACATTGAAAAAGNATTATGGCTTGACCACTTTGTTAAAAACACAGAAGAATATTCCCCAGTAATGCAAAATTCTGGTGGAGAGCAATTGTGTGGCACTGGGTAATTTTTAAGGTGAAATGTTATGGCAGTTTTTATTCTGAATCTGCTCTTTGTACCTAGGCTGCATTTTATGCACAGTCTGCAGTTTGTAGGCTGCTGTCTGCAGTTGTCATTTTGTACTGGTAAAAAGTTACGTCTGTATACAAGCCATGAAGTAGTTCATCAGGCTGGAGCTTTATACCAGTTTCTGTAGCATGAAGCTACTAGGAGTATTTCTGACCTCCTGGATGGGATGCTAGTCCATAGCAGGGTTACCCCCCTAGCATTAAATTCGCTAGTCCCCATTTTTACACCTGGGTGGAGAGAGGCACTGTGAGAGTAAAGTGTCTTGCCCAAGAATGTAACAAAATGTGCCTAGCGAGGGCTTGAACCCAGACTGCTTGATCTGGAGATGAGTGCACTAACCATGAGGCCAGTGCGTCTCCACCCATTTTGTACTGACTGATATATAGATGTGTAACCCCAAGGAGCTATAGGGCTATCTTTGCTGACATCATTATTTTACATTTTTGGCTAATTGACATGCTAATTTGTATAGAGAATGTTTCACGCTAGATACAAATTGACTCCAAATAGTTAAGAGCTGGTAGAACTTATTACATGGTGAAATCTTGGGTCTCTTGGGTGCAACATTGAAAAAGTTTTGGTACCTGTAATATTTCTTGAAGTTTCTACATGTATATTGGATGTTTTGATTTTGATGTCTGATATCACCTTCAAATATGAGGTCTGTTTGATGGTTTTCAAACTACAGTAGGATCATAATAAG